GTGCATGTATGTGTGACTGCTTGTACTAGTCCGGACTTAGCCCCCTTAGTGCTAGCCCTCTGAGATACCATGCCGCAGTTCACGGATACCCCACTTGGACACTCCATACTGACTCCAAACTAAGAAATCCTTGTTTGATCCCCTTTATGCCATGCACCAGGCAGGGTACAAACAAGCACCATCTTTTAACGACTTAGGTATGATGGGCCGAGGATTGAACCACCGACCTTCCTAGCATGGTTGGTTTGTTGTTTTACACCGGACTCAGCAATATTCCAGCTATATGATGGCGGTCTGTAAATAATCGAATCTGGACCAGACAATCCAATGATTGATAACATGAGCAAGACTTTGAAACTAGAGAGGATGTTATCATCAGTTACAGAGAAGTGTATGGTACTGACGGTGTCGTAGTGGTTGTTGGGGTGGGGCTCAGCGAAGCCGTACATATGAAGAAGGTGCCAGTTGGCCACCTGACCGTATGTGTTGAAGATCTCCTCACCCTGAAAAACATTGACAAACAAATGTCAGTGTGTGCCACAATCCGATTGGTTGAAAAAAACGGTTAAATAAAAACTAAGGCAATAAATCTTTTGGGCTTTTCACTCCATGATTTTTTCAAAAAGAATTCTCTCCACTATTTGAAATGTGTTTTTTTGTGAATACCTTATTTGTTATTCATATAGTTTGGTTAATTTTAAAAACAATAACAGAAAAATTCTGTTCCAGCTTTTTTCTCTCCATTCTGTTACCAGGACATCAATAATATCTTAAAGATGTTTCGCATCAGTTTTAACCAAATTCATTCCTACCAAACTATAAGTTTACCTTTTTGATATCACTTATAGCAACCATCTTTAAGCAGTCCTTCTCAAACTCCAGATTTGCATTGTTCTTGGCCACATGATTCAAGATGTCCGCCAGGGGCACCATCATGGGAGGGGAGGTAACTGTGTCAGCTTCGTCTTCCTCTTCACCATCCATTTTGACGGGCTCTGTGAAACTGTAGGCCATTACAAATGCCACAATCTTCTTGTAGAACTCAATATCATCATATAATGGCCTGCAAAGAGAAAGTCATGAAGGTGAGGTGAGGTGAAATGGGGTTTAACGTTGCATCCAAGATTATTGCACTTATATAGCGACGTGCATGCACGTGTATGAGTGCGGCTGCTTGTACTAGTCCGGACTGATGCTGATTTATAGCGCTAGCTCAATGATTTAATTTAACATGAATACCCTACTCAGACACAGTATACTGATCCCGAGCTGACTAGTCCTTGTTTTAGCCCCTTAATGCCGAGCGCCAGACAGGGTAACAACAAGTACCATCTTTTGGTATGACACAGCTGGGGATTGAACCCTAGACATTCTGCTCTCCAGGCGTGCTCTACCACTAGACTACGGAGGCGGTCCAGAAAGTCATGAAAGTTATGTGACTGTAAAATGTACTTATATCTACTTATATTGAATATATATGTATATATAATATAAATCCCTAATTAAAACCATCCTCCTTGTCTCCATCCTTGACATTTCTAATGCAATCATTAAAGGAATATTATTAGATTTTCATTTCTTACTTCTTTATTCTATATCTAATACATTTATTATACATAATATTTAACTGGGAAAGCTGAACACAAAACCTCAGAAGTATCTTTTTGACCTACCCGAACACATCCTTGTGCTTCTGGATGAAAGGTTGTACCAGCTTCTTGAAGTCATGTGTTATGTTGACAAGGTCACGGTCAACTGCCTCAATCACACCGGTTCCTTTCAGCAGTTCCTCGCGCTCCGATCTGCACAAATGATTGATAACATATAAACATATGATAAACATAAATATATTATAGTCTCTGTGTACACAATGAATGCTTGAAGAGTTGCATTATAAATATTTTCCTGGTCAATAGTGAATCTTTCACTCTGCATGCTGTCTGTGGGGCAATAGACGTCTAACAGTCACTTTATCATCACATCCTACCGGGTACCCATTTACTGCTGGGTGGTCATTGTTATTTTGACAAAATGACATCATAACTTGCTAATTACAACAGTTTTTGTTGCCTGGTCAAAGAGTAGGAACATAGCTTGGCATGTACATGGTAGTGTGTATGTTTCGTATTAATATTCAAGATTGTCATTTTATTGACAATAATTGGGGAGGTCGGGTAGCCTAGTGGTTAAATTTCAAACAATATCACAATTATTTTCAAAATTTGCCAAAGGCACTCAATTTGTAATCCTAGATCAATCAGTCTACACATGTATCCCTGTATACACGCTATTAGGCCATGATTTTGTCAGAAGTGAGAAAGATACACACTTTGGCTCAAAATATGCCAACTTTAAAGAACTATAGCATTGGGGTACTGTATGGATCATTATTGTAAATGGTGTACCTTATTCGACGTAATAAGTGCCCTGCTCTAATAAGCCCCCAAGGCAATATTTGCTAATATATTGGCTGGTGAACAATCCCAGTTAGCACCCCTTCCGATTGATCAATTTACACAAGACTTATTTGTTCGTGTATAATACGCACTTGTGTGTAATATGCTCCCTTAATTATGGGCAATTAAATTCTGGAAAAAAAAATCTGTCGTATATAAACATATCAGTCACCATAAACCACAAAATTTATCTTTCAACTCTGTTTTTTTCACCAAAATAATATTCTGATAAGAGCCCCCTCTTTCTAATTTTGAGAGCGCCCTGGGCGCTTATTACATCAAATACGGTACTTGTCACCTGTCATAAGGAACAGGAAAATATCATTCCACTCCGACATGAGCATGATAAGTGTGATATGAAAGATTTGGTTTGGTTTGTTTGTTGTTTTACGCCGCACTTAGCAATATTCCAGCTATATGATCATGATGATGGCGGTCTGTAAATAATCGAGTCTGGACCAGACAATCCAGTGATTGATATCATGAACACAAGTCAGCGAGCCTGACCACCCGATCCTGTTAGTCGCCTTTTACGACAAGCATAGTCGCCTTTTACGGTAAGCATGGGTTGCTGAAGACCTATTCTACCCCGGATGATAAGTGTGATATGAAAGAAGACATACTGAGTCCAGAACATGGGGAGAGTGAGCTCCTTGAAGTCGGGGCAGACATCCAGGTACGTCCTCCATCTTGACTGCGGGTTGTTGTATTCGTACATCAGTGTGATCAGAAGGGGAATCCAGCCACTAGAGCTCTGCAGCTCCGCCGACCCTGAAACACACGTCATGTCTGCATGAACATAAGTGATGGGTATTGGTCAGGCATTTGTTTTTTACTTATTATGATTCATGTATTGTGAATTACCACAATATATTGTACGCATTTTTTCATCTGTAATTTTTTATGAATTTGTTTAGTTTTATCTATCGCAGTAATCCAACGTTAATTTCAGAATTCTTTCATAATTTCATTTCTACTTTTCACGTAGGTAAACTTAGCCAACAAGATGAAATATTATTTAAAAGACAATACACAGAATTTTCCAAACATATTTTCATACGTATTCATCAGCATTTCAAATTGTGGTCGCACACACAGTGCACACCTAATGAAAATAAATCAATAAACGATTCCTGACTTGAAACATCAATGAAGACACTTTCATTTTCAACTACACAAGTTGATTCCTTGGGAATAACATTACCATGTGCGTTATGAACATGTTCCAAATTGCAATAGAGCACAGGAATAGACAGATTCCTGCTGATCTTTTGGTATGTAGCAACAGTTCCTGTAGGCTATTTGATATTTATAGAGTCTGATGAATCTGATTGCCTAAACATAACTTTTACTTGTGGGCCATTTCATCTTATACCATGTATACAGGGATGGAAATTAGCACTAGCCCAGTTGCCTGTTTGTTTGTTTTTAGGCTTAGAAGACTTTTATACGATTTGGGGGTATATATTGCTGTACGTAATCACTATTCAAGGTAGTAGACATGGATTCAATTTCAATCCCTGTAATGCTCAGTGTTTGAATAAATTAATTATGTAAATTCCATTCATAATGAATAAAGCTAGTTACTGCTTCCTTTGATGCTGCAAACAGCTTTTTGAATCGTGTCTTGCAATTAATAATATATAATGTGCTAAAAACTATCAAATGTACACATTGCTTATTACCTTCTTCCAACAATTTGGCAATGCCACATGTGCTTGGTGTCAATAACATTTTTCTTGGGATGACAAACAGCGTCTCTCCCTTCTCAATGTCAGCTACAGCAACCATGCCATTTTGTGCACATGATCCCTCTTTACCAACTTTCACCTACAACCACATAGAAAAATGATGGTAAGACACCAAAAACAACAATTCTACTATAAACGAATAATATATCAAGAAAGAGTCCAAAACTAAATGATATGGTCTTAAAATTATGGGAAAATACACACTTGTGTTCATTTCGTACACTGATGATCTAAAACCTTTGTCTGGTTGAACGATTGACATAAAATCAATATATCGACAAATTCACATAATATCTCACATAAACGTAACAAAACAAAATTGACCATTCCTATTGAAAGTTCAATATCGATTTATCAATTTGACTTTGAAAACGAAGCAACAGTTGATCAAATAATGCCTGAATGAATCGGGGAAATTTGAATATCATTTGTTTACTTTGTCCAAACAATGGAGATGATGCAAACAGCACTGCGCGATAATCTGTGCATATTTTTTCACCTTTTTCGAGACACAAAATCCGTTGTCATCACACCACTTTAGAAATAACTGTAGTTTTCCACTTTGGGCGGACTCTGTGGATGTTTTGGCCGGTACTTCACCTTCGTCCTCACCCACGTGTTTCCTGGTCGCCATGTTTTGATTTATCACATTCGGTACGCACGCAGTTACCTCCCTTGTTATGTCCAAAAGCGAGCTCCACCCCAACGCGATATGTTCGTACCTAGCTCTCTATAAGAGAGAGAGAGATATCGCTGTAAGGAGCTTGTTTTAGGGGGCGGCATTAGAACATTGCTTGTACAGGTTCGACTTGCTTCCGGATCCGCGGCGACAGCTTTGTCTAAAGTTGGTGTTTGTTTTGGTCATCTGTTTTTGTGTCTCTGTCAATGACAACAACTGTCATTAGGTGAGACCTTACTAGACGAATGCCTTAGTATATGGGGGATATAACGATATACGACAGTGCGATTTCCGGATCTTTTTTAGTTGTTTTTTTAATGAATTATGGGAATTATATTTACCAATTTTCAGCTGATGACAACTGTCATAATATGGTCGCAGGGTGAACCGACCTTTGACAAAATGGCCTATTTCGGCCTCATCTTCTTTGCCGAAATGACCCAGTTGAAAGAAACTGCAATGAATACAATAGAATTTAAAAAAAGGCATTTAAGATATAAAGTGACAAGTTTAAATAACATGACCATGTAACTATAATAATAATAACAAACTCGGACGAGTTATTATTATAAGTTACATGGTCCTGTGGTTTAACATCATCACTCTATATTTCAATCATCAATAATTAGTTGCACAATAGTGATCGAGTGAGTTTGGTTTAACGCCGCTTTTAACAGCATTCCAGTTATATCACGGCGTGTCAGCTTAATGTGGGAGGGAAGCCAGAAGTGATGCAGGTCTCAGACGTTTACCACTTCGGTGAAACCCACGGGCACAGGTATGGTGCTGACAAACCTAGAAACATAATTGGGGCAAAGGGGGATTTGAACCCTGAAATCCTATGTTTCTGGCGTGCCCAAGGGACGCAACTCTGCACAGCAAATCGCGGTGCCTTAGACGACTGGGCCACCCGTGACCCCCTTTAGAATCAGCCTCAGAACATCCGTGAACTTGAAACTGTCTTGTTTGCAGAATGGAATAACAATAATATGTTTACTCTGTTGACTGGCATTAAGGAAGTTCAAAGGCACTAAAATAATTAAACCAACAACAGTTCACTGATTGGTATTCGGAGAAGGTGTCAACAAGCTTGACACGAGTGGGTAGAACTCTTGACCCCAGCAGTGATAACCCACCGGACGCCCATTGTATAATTCCTATTTTTTAAATGACATTGTTATATACTTGTTACAACTGTTGCTCAATAAACCGTGTTTGCGTTTATATTCAAGATGGTATTTCTGTTTTCCAAAGTGTGCTGTAAGGCTGTTTTATTGTTGATAGTCCTTTTGGAGACATAAATCCAAAGTTAATTAATGCGAGCAAAGACGATTCACATTTTTCGCATTTAATTCACGCTCGCATTAATTTCAAAATTTACAGTAATACCAATAAATTGTTTTATACAATTTCAGCTTGAACTGAAAGAGCAAAGAATCGTGAGTGCCCTTGTAGGGTATGGAGGACATGTTGAAGAAGGAGCTGGCCACCTCTGTGCTGAAGAATACAGGGCGGGGTGGGGGAGGATGCGTCAATCAGGGCGTGGCATATGAGACTGATCAGGGTCTGGTCTTCGTCAAGATGAACAGTAAATCAGGGGTGATTAAACAATGTAATCCTTGTTTAACCTACCGTGAAAATGATGTCCAAGGGTTGCAAGATATGTATGAAATAAATGATGAGTGGGAGTTGTTTATCGTACAATAAAACACTGCAGGGAGAATAAACCATGAGCAGCCCTGAGTGGTTTATTCTCCCTACAGTGTTTTATTGTACACAACGGGTCACACCCATTGGGGAGGTAACACCCATGGTGTAGGTCACACCCGGGGAGATCACACCAATGGGGCAGGTCATTCCTTTGGGCAGACCACTCCAGTTGGGCAGATCACTCCCCTTTGACAGATCACTCCCCTTGGGTAGGTCACACCCATTGGGCAGGTTACTCCCCTTGGGCAGGTCACAACTATTGGACTGGTCACTCCCCTTGGGCAGCTCACTCCCCTTGGGAAGATCGCAACCACTGGGCAGATCACTACCATTGGGCAGATCACTACCATTGGGCAGGTCACTCCCCCTAGGCAGGTCACTCCTCTTGGGCAGATCACTCCCCTTGGACAGGTCACAACCATTGGGCAGATCACAACCCTTGGGCAGGTCACTCCCCTTGGGCATGTCACTCCTCTTGGGCAGATCACTCCCCTTGGGCAGATCACTACCATTGGGCAGGTCACTCCTCTTGGGCAGGTCATTCCCCTTGGGCAGGTCACTACCATTGGGCAGGGCACTCCCCTTGGGCATGTCACTCCCCTTGGGCAGGTCACAACCATTGGGCAGGTCACAACCCTTGGGCAGGTCACAACCATTGGGCAGGTCACTACCATTGGGCAGGTCACAATCATCGGGTAGGTCACTACCATTGGGCAGATCACAATCATGGGGTAGGTCACTACCATTGGGCAGATCACAACCCTTGGGCAGGTCACTACCATTGGGCAGGTCACAACCATTGCGAAGATCACAACCCTTGGGCTTCACTACCATTGGGCAGATCACAATCATCGGGTAGGTCACTACCATTGCGCAGATCACAACCCTTGGGCAGGTCACAACCATTGGGCAGATCACAATCATCGGGTAGGTCACCACCATTGGGCAGATCACAATCCTTGGGCAGGTCACTCCAGTTGGGCAGATCACTACCATTGGGCAGATCACAATCATCGGGTAGGTCACCACCATTGGGCTGATCACAACCCTTGGGCAGGTCACTCCAGTTGGGCAGATCACTACCATTCGGCAGATCACTCCCCTTGGGCAGATCACTACCATTGGGCAGGTCACAACCATTGGGCAGATCACTACAATTGGGCAGATCGCAAACATCGGGCAGATCACTACCATTCGGCAGGTCACAGCCATTGGGCAGATCACTCCAGTTGGGTCAGTTCACTGTCTTTCTGTCATAGGCCTCTGGTCCTGCTACAATCTTGCTGCACATTTGATGCATGTCTGAATGTCTGTTCCCTGTCTCTCATGTCTCAGACAGTCTCTCTGTCTCACTTTCTCCTCATGTAACACTTTGCTGTTCCAGGCTCGGAAGATGTTCGATGGAGAGTTTGCGAGTCTTGTAGCCCTGCACACAGCGGATGAAGTGAGAGTACCAAAACCCATCAAGGTAGGATTTGTTTGTTTGTTTGTTTGTTGTTTAATGCCGCGCTCAGCAATATTCCAGCTATATGATGGCGGTCTGTAAATAATCGAGTCTGGACCAGAAAATCCAGTGATTGATATCATGAGTATCGATCCAAACAATTGCATCAACCAAGTCAGAGAGCCTGACCACCCGATCCTGTTAGTCGCCTTTTACGGCAAGCATGGGTTGCTGAAGACCAAAGGTAGGAAGTGTCTCATCAGGAATATTGCGGGGATGATGAACCTTAAACTGCTTGTTATGAACTACAAAATATATATTTCTCAGTGGCCTACTTCTATAGACCTCCGTGGTCTAGTGGATAGAGGTTCTGCCTGAGGAGCGGAAGTTTGGTCATGCAATCCTTGGCCGTGTCATAGGTAAAATATGTTGAAATATGGTACTTGTTGTTACCCTGGCTGTCAGCTTGAAGGAGATAAAACAATGATCGGTCAGCTTGGAGTCAGTACACTGTGTCTGAGTGGGGTATTCATGTATTTCAGTGGCATGGTGTTTTAAGTGGGATAGCACTATAGAACCAGTATTAATCAAGAGTATTACAAGCAAACACAAAAATAAACACACACACATGCATGCATGTTGCTATATAAGGGTAATATTCTTGAACACAACGCTAAACCCCATTTCACCTCACTTATCCTATAGATCTATCTACCGCAGCCATTAATGGAAGAAATAACAAATAATGTTGAAAGGTGCATGGCAAAATTCCAAACATTATTGTTCAAAATATTATACTGAAACATAAACAAAGGTCTTAATCCGAAGCAGAAAGTAAGACTAGATGACTTGTTTTACCTGTAACTACAGTAACTGTTGTTTCTGGTTAGTTTGGCACAGGGTTTGGGGTCCATAGCTCCTTTTACAATATCCTTTAATTTACAGCCTATCGACCCATGAAGATCCGGGACAGAATAGGTCTCCAGCAACCCATGCTTGCAGTAAAAAGTGACTATGCATATATGCTTGTCGTAAGAGGCGACTAATGGGGTCGGGTGGTCAGGCTCGCTGACTTGGTTGATGCATGTCATCGTATCCCAATTGCGTGGATCGATGCTCATGATGTCAATCATTGTATTGTCTGTTCCAGACTCGATTATTTACAGACCGCTGTCATATAGCTGAGTGCGGCGTTAAACAACAAACAGAACAAAATACAGCCTATGATCTAGGTGGCACTGTCGTACTAATACTGCCCAACTCTCCTACACAGACCTTGCACAGTCATTGAGCTAGACTTCTTAGATTTCTCTGCCTCCTCAGGAAGAAACTCTTTCCCAGATATGATATAAAGAAAGTAAAGTTTTTCCAAAAGGTATGAGTGTGTTTGTTCTATGTTCATGGTGTTAGTCCATGTTGCTGTGTTTTAGGTGCTGACGAACCCTGAGGGCGGCGCCTTGTTGGTCATGGAGTATCTGGACATGCGGAGTCTCTCCTCCCACTCCGCCGCACTCGGCCAACAGCTAGCTAGGTATGTCTTGAACAGTCTCTCTCTCTTTCCCGATCCGCCACACTCGGCCAACAGCTAGCTAGGTATGTCTTGAACAGTCTCTCTCTCCTCCCACTCCGAGGTGCTCGGCCAACAGCTAGCTAGGTATGTCTTGGACAGTCTCTCTCTCTCCTCCCACTCCGCCACACTCGGCCAACAACTAGCTAGGTATGTCTTGGACAGTCTCTCTCTCTCCTCCAAATTCGCGGTGCTCGGCCAACAACTAGCTAGGTATGTCTTGGACAGTCTCTCTCTCTCCTCCCACTCCGCCGCACTCGGCCAACAACTAGCTAGGTATGTCTTGGACAGTCTCTCTCTCTCCTCCCACTCCGCCGCACTCGGCCAACAACTAGCTAGGTATGTCTTGGACAGTCTCTCTCTCTCCTCCCACTTCGCGGTGCTCGGCCAACAGCTAGCTAGGTATGTCTTGGACAGTCTCTCTCTCTCCTCCCACTCCGCGGTGCTCGGCCAACAACTAGCTAGGTATGTCTTGGACAGTCTCTCTCTCTCCTCCCACTCCGCGGTGCTCGGCCAACAACTAGCTAGGTATGTCTTGGACAGTCTCTCTCTCTCCTCCCACTCCGCGGTGCTCGGCCAACAACTAGCTAGGTATGTCTTGAACAGTCTCTCTCTCCTCCCACTCCGCAGTGCTCGGCCAACAGCTAGCTAGGTATGTCTTGGACAGTCTCTCTCTCTCCTCCCACTCCGCCGCACTCGGCCAACAGCTAGCTAGGTATGTCTTGGACAGTCTCTCTCTCTCCTCCCACTCCGCCGCACTCGGCCAACAGCTAGCTAGGTATGTCTTGGACAGTCTCTCTCTCTCCTCCCACTCCGCGGTGCTCGGCCAACAGCTAGCTACGTATGTCTTGGACAGTCTCTCTCTCTCCTCCCACTCCGCCGCACTCGGCCAACAGCTAGCTAGGTATGTCTTGGACAGTCTCTCTCTCTCCTCCCACTCCGCCGCACTCGGCCAACAACTAGCTAGGTATGTCTTGGACAGTCTCTCTCTCTCCTCCCACTCCGCCGCACTCGGCCAACAGCTAGCTAGGTATGTCTTGGACAGTCTCTCTCTCTCCTCCCACTCCGCGGTGCTCGGCCAACAGCTAGCTAGGTATGTCTTGGACAGTCTCTCTCTCTCCTCCCACTCCGCCGCACTCGGCCAACAGCAAGCTAGGTATGTCTTGGACAGTCTCTCTCTCTCCTCCCACTCCGCCGCACTCGGCCAACAACTAGCTAGGTATGTCTTGGACAGTCTCTCTCTCTCCTCCCACTCCGCCGCACTCGGCCAACAGCTAGCAAGGTATGTCTTGGACAGTCTCTCTCTCTCCTCCCACTCCGCCACACTCGGCCAACAGCTAGCTAGGTATGTCTTGGACAGTCTCTCTCTCTCCTCCCACTCCGCCGCACTCGGCCAACAACTAGCTAGGTATGTCTTGGACAGTCTCTCTCTCTCCTCCCACTCCGCCACACTCGGCCAACAGCTAGCTAGGTATGTCTTGGACAGTCTCTCTCTCTCCTCCCACTCCGCCGCACTCGGCCAGCAACTAGCTAGGTATGTCTTGGACAGTCTCTCTCTCTCCTCCCACTCGGCCACACTCGGCCAACAACTAGCTAGGTATGTCTTGGACAGTCTCTCTCTCTCCTCCCACTCCGCCGCACTCGGCCAACAACTAGCTAGGTATGTCTTGGACAGTCTCTCTCTCTCCTCCCACTCCGCCACACTCGGCCAACAGCTAGCTAGGTATGTCTTGGACAGTCTCTCTCTCTCCTCCCACTCCGCCTCACTCGGCCAACAGCTAGCTAGGTATGTCTTGGACAGTCTCTCTCTCTCCTCCCACTCTGCGGTGCTCAGCCAACAGCTAGCTACGTATGTCTTGGACAGTCTCTCTCTCTCCTCCCACTCCGTAGTGCTCGGCCAACAGCTAGCTAGGTATGTCTTGGACAGTCTCTCTCTCTCCTCCCACTCCGCCGCACTAGGCCAACAACTAGCTAGGTATGTCTTGGACAGTCTCTCTCTCTCCTCCCACTCCGCGGTGCTCGGCCAACAACTAGCTAGGTATGTCTTGGACAGTCTCTCTCTCTCCTCCCACTCCGCGGTGCTCGGCCAACAACTAGCTAGGTATGTCTTGGACAGTCTCTCTCTCTCCTCCCACTCCGCGGTGCTCGGCCAACAACTAGCTAGGTATGTCTTGGACAGTCTCTCTCTCTCCTCCCACTCCGAGGTGCTCGGCCAACAGCTAGCTAGGTATGACTTGGACAGTCTCTCTCTTACCTCCCACTCCGCCGCACTCGGCCAACAACTAGCTAGGTATGTCTTGGACAGTCTCTCTCTCTCCTCCCACTCCGCCGCACTCGGCCAACAACTAGCTAGGTATGTCTTGGACAGTCTCTCTCTCTCCTCCCACTTCGCGGTGCTCGGCCAACAACTAGCTAGGTATATCTTGGACAGTCTCTCTCTCTCCTCCCACTCCGCCGCACTCGGCCAACAACTAGCTAGGTATGTCTTGGACAGTCTCTCTCTCTCCTCCCACTTCGCGGTGCTCGGCCAACAACTAGCTAGGTATGTCTTGGACAGTCTCTCTCTCTCCTCCCACTCCGCGGTGCTCGGCCAACAACTAGCTAGGTATGTCTTGGACAGTCTCTCTCTCTCCTCCCACTCCGCGGTGCTCGGCCAACAGCTAGCTAGGTATGTCTTGGACAGTCTCTCTCTCTCCTCCCACTTCGCGGTGCTCGGCCAACAACTAGCTAGGTATGTCTTGGACAGTCTCTCTCTCTCCTCCCACTCCGCCGCACTCGGCCAACAACTAGCTAGGTATGTCTTGGACAGTCTCTCTCTCTCCTCCCACTTCGCGGTGCTCGGCCAACAACTAGCTAGGTATGTCTTGGACAGTCTCTCTCTCTCCTCCCACTCCGCGGTGTTCGGCCAACAACTAGCTAGGTATGTCTTGGACAGTCTCTCTCTCTCCTCCCACTTCGCGGTGCTCGGCCAACAACTAGCTAGGTATGTCTTGGACAGTCTCTCTCTCTCCTCCCACTCCGCGGTGCTCGGCCAACAACTAGCTAGGTATGTCTTGGACAGTCTCTCTCTCTCCTCCCACTCCGAGGTGCTCGGTCAACAACTAGCTAGGTATGTCTTGGACAGTCTCTCTCTCTCCTCCCACTCCGCCGCACTCGGCCAACAACTAGCTAGGTATGTCTTGGACAGTCTCTCTCTCTCCTCCCACTTCGCGGTGCTCGGCCAACAACTAGCTAGGTATGTCTTGGACAGTCTCTCTCTCTCCTCCCACTCCGCCGCACTCGGCCAACAACTAGCTAGGTATGTCTTGGACAGTCTCTCTCTCTCCTCCCACTTCGCGGTGCTCGGCCAACAACTAGCTAGGTATGTCTTGGACAGTCTCTCTCTCTCCTCCCACTCCGCGGTGCTCGGCCAACAACTAGCTAGGTATGTCTTGAACAGATTCTCTCTCTCTCCTCCCACACCGCCACACTCGGCCAACAACTAGCTAGGTATGTCTTGGACAGTCTCTCTCTCTCCTCTCATTCCGAGGGGCTCGGCAAACAGCTAGCTTGGTATTATTTTGAGCTTTTAAACATTATGCAAAATTATGCAAATATTTAATAGTTAATTTCACACCATATCTTCATGTGCCGCCGTAGCTGAGGTTGATAATTACACGTCCTCAAATCAAACGATGCGGGTTCAAACCCCACTGTTTTCGAAAAAAATTAGAAATTATTTACTTGTTAATAAATGCCAAAAATAGTTCCGTCTATTCCAAGTGGAAATTAATTCAAATGTTGGTTCAAGATAATGTATAGTTGACAAACAACTCTCCATTCCTGAAAAATAATTGAGCGCTCAGACAATAGAATGACGTCTCAGATGTGTTTAGATATGTACACAAACAATTGGTTTACCTTGATACGAAATAAAATATTGATGCACATTATGAATGCTGAGGATGTTCTACATGTCTGTATGCTGTTCCAGACTTCACCAACAGAATGCTGGGATAGGTCAGCGGATGCTAAAGGAACAGCAATCTGTGCACAGAAACTCGGATCTCAATTACGTCGACAAGTTTGGGTTTGATGTGGAGACCTGTTGCGGGTATCTTCCTCAAAGTAACGCTTGGACAGACAGCTGGATGGTGAGTAGTGCTTGGACAGACACCTACGTGGTAAATAACACATGGACAGACACATAGGTGGTACATAACACATGGACAGACATTACAGTGATAAATAACACATGGACAGACACCTAGGTGGTAAATAACAATTGGACAGACACCTAGGTGGTAAATAACTAGTGGACAGACACCTAGGTGGTAAATAACACATGGACAGACACCTAGATGGTAAATAACACATGGACAGACACCTAGGTGGTAAATAACATGTGGACAGACACCTAGATGGTAAATAACACGTGGACAGACACCTAAATGGTAAATAACATGTGGACAGACACCTAGATGGTAAATAACACATTGACAGACACCTAGATGGTAAATAACATGGGGACAGACGCCTAGATGGTAAATAACATGTGGACAGACACCTAGATGTTAAATAACATGTGGACAGACACCTAGATGGTAAATAACACATGGACAGACATCTAGATGGTAAATAACACGTGGACAGACACCTAGATCGTAAATAACATGTGGACAGACGCCTAGGTGGTAAATAACACATGGACAGACACCTAGATGGTAAATAACACGTGGACAGACACCTAGATGGTAAATAACACGTGGACAGACACCTAGATGGTAAATAACACATAGACAGACACCTAGATTGTAAATAACACATGGACAGACACCTAGATGGTTAATAACCCTTGAACAGTCAGCTGTGTGGTTACTCTTGATATGTATATCCCAAAGATGACAAGGCTTTTGTAGAGACATCCAGACACAGACACTTTCTACCTTGTCTTATTGATCTCACATTGTAAACATTGTAAAATTAGGGACTGATTTAAATACTGTAAATCTTGATATTAACGCGAGCGTGAATTAAATGCGAAAAATGCGAGTGGTCTTTGCTCGCATTGTTAAACATCGCATTTATATCAACAATAAGACATTTTGGATAGCAGAAATACCAACTTAGACATACGCTAATGTCTAATGATTAATGTAAGGATGGATTAAGGTGAGGATTCTCCTGTAAACCTGACAGAGGACATTTTGTTTAGATATAAATCCACTGATGCTTGAGAGGAGAGGGTGTCGCATTCATATTGAGTCGCATTTTTGGCTAGGGGCCAGCGGTCGCATTCTTTTGGAGACGCATTAATTTCACGTTTTACAGTATTCCTTTAGTGTCGAATCTAATTTCATTTTATTTACTTTCAGCAATTTTATGCCCAAAAAATTGAAGAACAAATCCAGATGCTTGAATCTGAGGTGAGACCTGCTACATCACTGATAGTATTGAGTGAGAGAGGGAGAGATACATATCTGAACACTTGCAAATTTAATGATAACACTTTTTATGGAGGAAATTATGTTTGTTCATGTATGCCTTATTAAATAACCATGGTTACTATTTGCTGATTGATTGCTTTCAGTACAGAGACAAAGGCGCTCGGGAACTGTGGTCACAGATTCTTCCCAGCTTGTCGAAGCTGTTTGATGGCCTTGACATTCAACCAGCTTTGCTACACGGAGACCTATGGGGTGGGAATGTTGGACAGCTGTCGGACAGACCGGGTACTCCTTATTACTAACAGTGTTCCACCCATGTGTGTTGAGTGTGTATTAGTTTTAGGATTAAGTTTACAGGCATCAGCATCTTTGTTGTTGATAATCATCACATTCGTGATCATATACTACTCAAGAGAAGTTAAGGACCATGCGCACTAGTAGTGGGACGATTCACCAATGTATTAGTGGATTTGATGCTAAAAAGGTGCGATTTTAGGGTGTGTAAGAAACAGATTACTGCACTCGTTCCTGTCATATTCCATTAAATATTTTATCTTAAATCAACTCGTAAGCTAAATTGACAGACAATCATGTAGTATTCTCTACTTGTTTTTTATGTGTCAGTAAGCCAGCTCATTGGAAGTGGATGCAGTGAAAACACACTAGGCCCACTTGCACAAAGCGATAGCGCTAAGATGATCGCAACTCCCATACTTTAACATAGGCTTAAGATAATAATAACGCTAAGATTGCTTTGTGCAAGTGGGCCCTGGTCTTAGCATGCATCTGAATTGAAAGTGATAGTCCTCAGAGAACACCTTGTTGGATATGAGGCTGCTTTGTTGTATTTGTTATACAATATTACCAATATATTCACGGATTTATCCCACGCTGCCAAACTGTGTGCTTGGCAGTCCAATTGGGAAACAAATGATTTTTTATTGTTCTTTTTTTTTTAGTTTCAATGGTATTTTAACATTGTACTTGGACATTGCATGCAATTTGTTAATGTAACATTAAGCTGTTCTCATTTGGAACTTTTTACTGACATAAGTGGGGCGGTCGGGTAGCCTAGTGGTTTAAGCGTCCGCTCGTCACGCTGAAGACCCGGATCCGATTCCCGACATGGGTACAATTTGTGAAGCCCATTTCTGGTGTCCCCCGCCGTGATACTGCTGAAATATTGCTAAAAGCGGCGTAAAACCATACTCACTCACTACTGACACAAGTTGCAGACTTGGGGCCAAATACTGGCCTCTGAGCATGTCTTGATAAGTGCCTAAACGTGTGCTTTATCTTCAGTGATCTTCGACCCCTGCAGTTTCTATGGGCACGCTGAGTTTGACCTGGGAATATGCAACATGTTTGGTGGGTTTAACTCTGCATTCTTCAACAACTACTTCAAGGTCCTGCCCAAACAGCCAGGCTATGAGACGCGACTCCAGCTGTATCTGCTCTTCCACAACCTCAACCACTGGTACGTTCACTTCCTTAACCTCAACCACTGGTACGTTCACTTCCTTAACCTCAACCACTGGTATGTTCACTTCCTTAACCTCAACCACTGGTACGTTCACTTCCCTAACCTCAACCACTGGTACGTTCACTTCCACAACCTCAACCACTGGTACGTTCACTTCCTTAACCTCAAGCACTGGTACGTTCTCGTCCATAACCTCAACCACTGGTACGTTCACTTCCTTAACCTCAACCACTGGTACGTTCACTTCCTTAACCTCAAGCACTGGTATGTTCACTTCCCTAACCTCAAGCACTGGTACGTTCACTTTCATAACCTCAAGCACTGGTACGTTCACTTCCTTAACCTCAAGCACTGGTACGTTCACTTCCACAACCTCAACCACTGGTATGTTCACTTCCACAACCTCAACCACTGGTACTTTCACTTCCCTAACCTCAAGCACTGGTACGTTCACTTCCATAACCTCAAGCACTGGTACATTCACTTCCATAACCTCAAGCACTGGTATGTTCTCTTCCCTAACCTCAACCACTGGTACGTTCACTTCCCTAACCTCAACCACTGGTACATTCACTTCCTTAACCTCAAGCACTGGTACGTTCACTTCCATAACCTCAAGCTCTGGTATGTTCACTTCCCTAACCTCAAGCACTGGTACGTTCACTTCCATAACCTCAAGCACTGGTACGTTCACTTCCTTAACCTCAAGCACTGGTATGTTCACTTCCCTAACCTCAAGCACTGGTACGTTCACTTCCCTAACCTCAACCACTGGTACATTCACTTCCTTAACCTCAAGCACTGGTACGTTCACTTCCATAACCTCAAGCACTGGTATGTTCACTTCCCTAACCTCAAGCACTGGTACGTTCACTTCCATAACCTCAACCACTGGTACGTTCACTTCCTTAACCTCAAGCACTGGTATGTTCACTTCCCTAACCTCAACCACTGGTACTTTCACTTCCCTAACCTCAAGCACTGGTACGTTCACTTCCACAACCTCAAGCACTGGTACTTTCACTTCCCTAACCTCAAGCACTGGTACGTTCACTTCCTTAACCTCAAGCACTGGTACGTTCACTTCCTTAACCTCAAGCACTGGTATGTTCACTTCCCTAACCTCAACCACTGGTACGTTCACTTCCCTAACCTCAACCACTGGTACATTCACTTCCTTAACCTCAACCACTGGTACGTTCACTTCCATAACCTCAAGCACTGGTATGTTCACTTCCCTAACCTCAAGCACTGGTACGTTCACTTCCATAACCTCAAGCACTGGTACGTTCACTTCCTTAACCTCAAGCACTGGTACGTTCACTTCCATAATCTCAAGCACTGGTACGTTCACTTCCACAACCTCAACCACTGGTACTTTCACTTCCCTAACCTCAAGCACTGGTACGATCACTTCCACAACCTCAAGCACTGGTACTTTCACTTCCCTAACCTCAAGCACTGGTACGTTCACTTCCTTAACCTCAAGCACTGGTACGTTCACTTCCTTAACCTCAAGCACTGGTACGTTCACTTCCCTAACCTCAACCACTGGTACGTTCACTTCCCTAACCTCAAGCACTGGTACGTTCACTTCCACAACCTCAACCACGGGTATGTTCACTTCCACAACCTCAACCACTGGCACGTTCACTTCCATAACCTCAACCACTGGTACGTTCACTTCCTTAACCTCAACCACTGGTACGTTCACTTCCACAACCTCAACCACTGGTACGTTCACCTCCTTAACCTCAACCACTGGTATGTTCACTTCCATAACCTCAACCACTGGTATGTTCACTTACATAACCTCAAGCACTGGTATGTTCACTTCCTTAACCTCAACCACTGGTAAGTTCAATTCCTTAACCTCAACCACTGGCACGTTCACTTCCATAACCTCAACCACTGGTACGTTCACTTCCTTAACCTCAACCACTGGTACGTTCACTTCCACAACCTCAACCACTGGTACGTTCACCTCCTTAACCTCAAGCACTGGTACGTTCACTTCCATAGCCTCAACCACTGGTATGTTCACTTACATAACCTCAAGCACTGGTATGTTCACTTCCTTAACCTCAAGCACTGGTATGTTCACTTCCTTAACCTCAACCACTGGTGCGTTCACTTCCATAACCTCAACCACTGGTACGTTCACTTCCTTAACCTCAACCACTGGTACGTTCACTTACTTAACCTCAAGCACTGGTACGTTCACTTCTATAACCTCCACCACATTCAAGATTCACAAGAGTATTTTTTTTTCTAATAATTCCTTCATATAATGCTGTGAGTGGTTTCAGTGCAATATAAATTTATTTTCTTATTTGTTTTAATCGTTTTCAGCAAGATGAATTCTGACCTGGAACAATATGTCATTTTAACTGCAAACATTTCTTTTTGTTTGGATGGGGTGGGGTGGATTTTTTTTACATTTAAGAAAGGGTATGTGTGGCCACCCGAGAACCCCTCTCCAAGATTTGCCTCTACTATTTTGTCTGTATATTCTTCTCTCTGCAGGAATCATTTTGGAAGCACTTACAGAGGCTCTTCCATGGGAATACTCAAACACTTGGTCAAAGAGCTGAAGAAAAGTTGAGGTGCCATCGTGTCGACAAATACTACAGACTTATGTTTTGTATGTTGAAGCATTAGTAATGAGGATTTTTTTTATGGGCCATTAGTTTACTGATTTTCTCTAGGAATCATTTAGTGGACTTGATTATATATTTAAACAGTCTCAAATGCCTACCTCCGTGCATTTTACATGACTTTCTTTAAATTTGATTTGATTGAAGAGAATTGTTAAAGCATTAATTTAGTTTTGTTAAATGGTATTTTTTTTGTGTATGCTTTTATTAGTGTGAATCACATGTATCTGTTTGACTGTTCGACTATATACAAGGTATTTGAGTAACTAAATCCGTTTTCATATTTATTAAAAGACAAGTATAGTAAGCATAGCACTTCACAGATTTTAGAGCTTTAAGGCATGTTTAATCACTAATGTTTGACCAAAATAAAAAAAATTAGAAAAAGAGAATAGTGTAAAACAGACAATAAAACATGATAGGCTAAATGATTGGAACACATCTACCACGGGGGTTAAAACTGGCTACCTGATTTTGTCAAGATGGAAAATTTTAACGATCAGTCACCCTATTTCCAGCTCAGATTTTTTAATCGCATCACAGGGTTTTTCTGTCTGCTCAGCCTTTCAATTACCATATCCACAACTTATGCCAAAAATTAGTCTACTCAGGGGATTCAAGTGTGATGCCTCCCAGAGATACGGCCAGGTGCAGTGATATGTGTGTGTGTGTGTGTGTGTGTGTGCGTGTGTGTAACTGTTTGTGTGTGTGTAACTGTGTGATGTGTGTGTGTCTGTAACTGTGTGTGTGTGTATCTGTTTGTCAGTTGTGTGTGTGTGTGTAACTGTGTCGTGTGTGTGTATCTATGTTTGTCAGTTGTGTGTGTGTGTAACTGTGTGGCGTGTGTGTCTGTTACTGTGTGGTGTGTGTGTATCTATGTTTGTCAGGTGTGTGTGTGTGTGTAACTTTGTGGCGTACGTGTGTCTATGTTTGTGAGGTGTGTGTGTGTATGTGTGTGTAACTGTGGTGTGTGTGTATCTCTGTTTGTCAATTGTGTGTGTGTGTGTCTGTAACTGTGGTGTGTGTGTATCTCTGTTTGTACGTTTGTATGTGTGTGTGGTGGGGGGAGGAGGGGGGAAGGGGTGTATGTTTGTATGTGTGTGTGGTGGGGGGGGGGCGGGGGGAGGAGGGGGAAAGGGGTGTACGTTTGTATGTGTGTGTGGTGGGGGGAGGGGGAAAGGGGTGTACGTTTGTGTGTGTGGTGGGGGGGGGGGGGGGGAGGAGGGGGAAAGGGGTGTACGTTTGTATGTGTGTGTGGTGGGGGGAGGGGGGGAAAGGGGTGTACGTTTGTATGTGTTTGTGGGGGGGGGGAAGGGGTGTACGTTTGTATGTATGTGTGTGTGGTGGGGGGGGGGGGGGGGGGGAGGAGGGGGAAGGGGTGTACGTTTGTATGTGTGTGTGTGTTGTGGTGGGGGGAGGAGGGGGGAAGGGGTGTACGTTTGTATGTGTGTGTTGGGGGAGGGGGGAAGGGGTGTACGTTTGTATGTATGTGTGTGTGGTGGGGGGGGGGGGGGGGGAGGAGGGGGAAGGGGTGTACGTTTGTATGTGTGTGTGTGTGGTGGGGGGAGGGGGAAAGGGTTGTACGTTTGTATGTGTGTGTGGTGGGGGGGGGGGGGGAGGGGGGAAGGGGTGTACGTTTGTATGTATGTGTGTGTGGTGGGGGGAGGGGGAAAGGGTTGTACGTTTGTATGTGTGTGTGGTGGGGGGGGGGGGGAGGGGGAAAGGGGTGTACGTTTGTATGTGTGTGTGGTGGGGGGGGGGGAGGGGGAAAGGGGTGTACGTTTGTATGTGTGTGTGGTGGGGGGGGGGGGGGGAGGGGGAAAGGGGTGTACGTTTGTATGTGTGTGTGGTGGGGGGGGGGGGGAGGGGGAAAGGGGTGTACGTTTGTATGTGTGTGTGTGTGGTGGGGGGGGGGAGGGGGAAAGGGGTGTACGTTTGTATGTGTGTGTGGTGGGGGGGGGGGGGAGGGGGAAAGGGGTGTACGTTTGTATGTGTGTGTGGTGGGGGGGGGGGAGGGGGAGAGGGGTGTACGTTTGTATGTGTGTGTGGTGGGGAGAGGGGGGAGGAGGGGGGAAGGGGTGTACGTTTGTATGTGTGTGTGGTGGGGGGAGGAGGGGGGAAGGGGTGTACGTTTGTATGTGTGTGTGGTGGGGGGGGGGGGGGGAAGGGGTGTACGTTTGTATGTGTGTGTGGTGGGGGGGGGGGAGGGGGGAAGGGGTGTACGTTTGTATGTGTCATCCACGATCTGTTTATAACTCGTGTGTCACTAACATGCAGTATGTACATGAGCTGATCAGACAGCTCCTAAAATCCTGTACACCCCTCTATTCACCCATGTAAGTATGAAACATCAGCACTAGAGAAAAATAGTCTGGATTGTCCACAAAAACGGATTCCATTGCCAAAATGGCAGTGAAAATTATATTAATGGATCACTGAAAATCAGTTATGACACCAGATGTTCGTAAACAAATTAAATGTATTGCGCAGCTGATGTATTTTATTCAACAATTCTTTTTGTGTCATCAATCTTGATGACATCAGATCATACGGGCAGATCAATCATGTGATAACACCCATCCAAGTGCATCTTCCTGAGGCAAGAGAGTTAACTGACTTTAAAAGTCCAGTTTCCACCCTTGCCGAACTAGGCTGGAATTCCTGGGCTCGATCATAGCGCCACCAGTGGCTATTCCGAGTTATGTCCCTTCTATGCCTCTCCTATGGACCAATCAGATTCCACCTCTCGTATCACTTGCATTTGCTTCAAACAAAATTGCGGCTCCCGGTGGAGACGATCTGATCGATAATCAAGATCTATTTTGTGATTAAAGGGGTCGTTCATCGCAAAGTGCATCAAATCACGTGAGCACCTTGATTAAAAACATGAAAACGAGTTGGCGGTGCACACGCTTTGCAAATTTTGCAATTGACTGAAATCTGCATGACAGTTTACAAACCGGATTTCGATTCCGTTGCGCGATTTTGATTGGACTATGAATAGACTCGTTAGTCCAGCCAAAATGTAACTCCATAATACCAGCTTATTTCGGCAAGGGTGGAAACTGGACTTTTATAGTCGGTAAAGTCCCTTGCCTCGTGAAGATGGCATCCAAATGAAGTTCGAGGGGGTATGTAGAGCCGGTACATTCTTCCATATGTCTGTACGTCACGTTTCAACTCTTTTTAGAATTTTTTAGAATAATATCTTGAAGACACCACGGTTGGGTGGGGACTTTCATCTCATGTTGCAATTGACACAAGTATGATAATTATCTTCACCATGATTGTAAGTCAGATTTATTTCAGGGAAATCAAATATCTCCTGAGGCCTGCTACAAGACACTTCATTTGATATTCCTGGGAGAGGAGCGAATCCATCCGGGATCAAGACATTGTGTGCCCTGTGTGAAAGCTAGATTTTGACTGTCTAGTCAGTGTAATTATAAACTGTTAAACTGATAGACTATACAGCATTAGATTTATGTAAGCTGACAACCACACTGGGTTTAAAATTACTTGAATCCTTCCTGCTGTGTCTGCCACTTAGCCTAAGTCTAGTCCTCTGTTAGGCCATCCATATGTTTTGTTTCTTGTGTTTTGTTTCTCATCTCCAGCCTCAACCAGCAAGAGAGCAGGCAGGCAATTTTTTTTGATAAAAAATAAAAATATTAAAAACTGTTTATCATTAACATGATTAATTGTGTAACATATTTTATTACTTTTTAAAGTTTAGAACACTTTTTACCAGTCTTTATTTAAGTTAATTTATGACGTAGACCAAGTTGCTTTGCTTAAGAATTTTTAAGAAATGTAGCTGTTGAAAGATCAAACTGTCCTGGGTTTTTTAAAGTGTGCAATGATAGTAGTATTTTTTTTATCACATTGGGTGGAAAAAATTTCAAAGGGCAGAGAAAATTGGATAAGATTTTTTTATTAATTCACGGCAGAATGATTTGTTTGTTTGTTTGTTGTTTAACGCCGCACTCAGCAATATTCCAGCTATATGACAGCAGTCTGTAAAATAATCGAGTCTGGACCAGACAATCCAGTGATTGACATCATGAGCATCGATCCACGCCATTGGGATCGATGACATATATAAACAAAGTCAGCTAGCCAGACCACCCGATCCCGTTACTCGCCTTTTACGACAAGCATAGTCACCTTTTACGGCAAGCATGGGTTGCTGAAGACCTATTCTACCCCGGAATCTTCACGGGTCCAAGGCAGAATGAAGATCCAGGGGTAGGAGATGGGAAATACAGAAGCAAATAGCGACAGTCTGATAGATGTTTGGGTCTGATTGAGTGCTTGCGCCCCCTAGTGGTTAAAACGACCATCTGTTGTGCCAAAACCCTTAGTGTCGTGGTCACATCCTGTGATGCCCATTCATGCCCCTCCCAGCTGCGATACTGCTGCAATGTTATTAACAATATAAGCCACTGTAAGACGTGATGTGGGTTGTTAATGACAATTAATATATTGTGCTTTACGTGTCGAGGTGTGGTTGTTTTTTGTGTTGTTATTTATGACACTGCATATTTGTTTGTTTTGTTTCAATTTGTTATAAATCAGAGGAAAACGATATAAATAAAAATGTGTTTGAAGGGAGACAACTCCTGTTATCTTGTTACAGTATCTGTAGATGACAGTTGGCCGGATGTAATTAATATTGTTTGATTTAGGGCTGGGCCGGGTAACTCGGGTACCTGGGTCGGGTGGGTATTGAGTAGGACCCGGGTACCCACAGAACTACTCGACCCGTGGTTAGTCATGTGATTATATAATTGTTTAACGGCAAAAATTATCTAGAACTCTATGGTTACACTATAAGTGATAATTGTTCACATTTCTTTCTGACTTTGCTCACATTCCTTCTGACTTTATATGTTTGCATAATGATAAAACATCTGTAAACTTCAGTGTATGCATGACCAGATCGGTTTATACGTGTATCTTAATTTATTTTGACAGGAGTACGGTCAATCTATTCCCAATCGGACATGTATTACCTATCACTTGAGACCTACAGCGGGTACCCGGGTAGGGTCAGGTAATAGGGAGGTGGGTACCCGGGTAGTAAATTTGCTCTCGTCCCAGCCCTAGTTTGATTGTTCTACAATATATTCAACGAATTATTTTGCAGTACATAAGCCGTTCTTTACGGACTGTCATGGGTAATTGTAATATCTTGATAAGTATTATATTACCCGACGTACCCTAGAACTATGTACTGTGAGAGTAACGCGTATGAATACCTCACGTGCCTGTGAAGGTAGTCCGCACGTGCTGTCACTCGGCTATGACATGTTGACCGGCAATGTGGCTGGCGAAATAAAAGTCTCTCCCCAACGCCTCTGGTTTTGTCTCTAGTCTGAGGGCTAGGTTATAACAGTAATGTTATATGGTCAATACGTGACTGCATACGTGGACATTAAACCCCTAATTTACGTGACAGTATCACACGTTTCCACAGCGTTGTAAAATATCAAAACATGTTTTTGACTGGACGTTGAATACAGAAATTCTTCAGGAGTGGTAGACTATGATGTAATTAGGTAAGATACATGGTGGAAATACAAAAACGCAAATCGTCATCTACTCGACAACAGAATTAAAACATGCAGTAGGCCTAAAACATGTAGCGATGAACTAACCTGCTTTTGCTACCCGTCATTCAATGGCCACTAATACACATTGTTATGTGTAAGTAATTTTAGTGGCGGAAGAAACTGTTGTAAATGTATTTGTTGTAATTGCAATTGTTTGAACTCTTAGTAAAAAAATATCAAGTGCTGTGGCGGCTGGAATTGAACCGCAATGAACTGCAGCGAATGGCGCTTTCTAGAATGTTATGGTGCTATAATTAGAGTTATCTGCCCTTGTTTTCGTGACCATCAAGCTCCTTCCCAGCGCGTGACACCTTCGTTATACTCTCTGTAACATCGCTGCCACCAGTGTAGGCGCGGCCATTACAAGAATCTTGAAATTTGCCCTTTATCCCCAAATGTAGTGACGTTTATATTTTTGTTTTTGTCTTTGGGAATGCCATCACAGTTAATTTTGAAAAGGTATTCAGCTGACCATATATTCCAAGATGAATTACCTTTTTGTTTGTTTGATCAGATTGGTTCGAGATTACAGACGAACGGAAAATCATCCAACTTCCCCCTTACATTCTTACTGTACCAATTACATGATAGTTGTAATGAAACAGAAATTCAAATTAACAAAGAAAAGAATTTAGCAGGGGTAAGAGTATTCGGCGACACGTCAGTCATCACTTGTAAACATAACGGTCAGTCGGCAGCGAGTTCAACTCCAAGCATGGTTGCGGCCATATATCACAGTGGGGAGGTTTGACTGGTAGACTGGTTCCCGGATCCTCCGTTTGGTGTCGCTGCACTTGTTCCGCTTTCAAATAAAAAATTGTCACAGGAACGAACGGGAACCAGTCTATTGACTGGTGGCAGCGATAATATAGAGAGCTCCGCGAATGGGCTATCGCTGTGGGGAGCTTGCGTGACCATGGCCGGCTTGATGGTTCTAGACGTTTCTAGAAAGTTGGTTGTACCTTTTCGAGGGAGATTCGAGTCCCCTTTCGACCTGACTTGTTTCTGATCTACTCGCCACATGCGACTTGAATACCTATGTCTAAACATCGAATTACTCCCCGCTTCCAACACTATTCTGGATTCGAGAGCGGTGCCAGGCTTCTTTCAAAACATTTTGAACATTCGTGAGTTCATGAACATTTATTCCAGGCCCTGTAGCTTGTTCCTGCTGCAATTTATTTGACCTGATGTACTGGCTTGATTGTTATCATAAAAGGGGCGGTCGGGTAGCCTAGTGGTTAAAGCGTTCGCTCGTCACGCCGAAGACCCGGGTTCGATTCCTGACATGGGTACAATATGTGAAGCCCATTTCTGGTGTCCCCCGCCGTGATATTGCTTGAATATTGCTAAAAGCAGCGTAAAACCATACTCACTCACTCACTCACTGTTATCATACAACTCTGTGTTTCAATATAACTTACTGATTATTCATTGATCTTGTGTAGTCATTTACTGATTCCACACCTAATTTCTGTGTGAACCTATTTCTGGTGTATACGGCCCCTCCAACAATTATTGTTCTATAGTGGTAATCTATAGTGAGTATATATGGTTTTACGCCGCTTTTAGCAATATTCCAGCAATATCACGGCGGGGTTATCTATGGAGTGATGTACTCCGTCGTGTCACCCCACTGCACGTCATTTGAATCAGCGTCGTCAGTTGTGTAGGGGACGTCAGCACTGGGATAATCGACGATGGGCTAATGCCATGTCTTCTGACAAATCGAGGTTCACTCTCGACTTCCATGACCGAACAAATCGAGTTTGGAGACGTCCTAATGAGCGTTTTATAAACGTTAAAGTCGTACATCATGATCGTTTAATTGTAGGGTGGGTCCATTATGGTATGGGGTAGTATCACAATGACTGGCCGAACAGCGCCCCATATTGTCAATGGCAGAGTCGCAAGTCAATACTATCGGGACAACATCATTACACCACTCGTGGTGCCATTTGCACAATGTGTTTGGCAAGGTTTCCTCTTTCAAGATGATAATGCCAGGCTCATCGTGCCAGACTTGTGACCCAGTTCCTTCCAACAACAAAACATCCATGTCATGCCATGGCCAGCACTCAGTCCTGACCTTTCCCCGCTGAACGTCTGGGACGCAATTGGCAGACGTGTACGTCAACGTCAAAATCCACCCATCACTCCGCGTTGCCATCACTGATGAGTGGAACAACATGAGTCAAGCTGACATTGGACGACTCATCAGAAGCATGCCTCGAAGAATTCGTGCATGTCTGGCAAACAGATGTGGTTTTACCCGATATTAGCGATGTTGGCTGCAAAATGCAAATTTCGGATTTGCCTCCTGAACCCTTTAACGACCTTGTGCGCCACCATCTCATCACACCAACCTTTGGGTGAGTATGGTTTTACGCCGCTTTAAGCAATATTCCAGCCATATCACGGCGGGGGGCACCAGAAATGGGATTCACACATTGTACCCATGTCGGGAATCGAACCCGGGTCTTCGGCGTGACAAGCGAACGCTTTAACCACTAGGCTACCCGACCGCCCCCCCCCCCCCTTTCCCCACACACACCAACCTTTAGAACCCGTTATATCGGATCGCCTACGCCCCAGCATATATGACCATAGCATTTCCTTTTGTCTACCATATAGATAAGTATATATGTCTTGGTGGTTCCCAATGACCACTACTTTTTGTTCATATAGTATATGTATTAGCGAACAGTAGACGCCGGATAATAAAGGCGGAACAGTAAATATCTACGATTTCGGAGCTCGTTAACGTCGCCATTTATAACAGTGAGTGAGTTTGGTTTTACGCCGCTTTAAGCAATATTCCAGCACTATTACGGCGGGGGAAACCAGAAATGGGCTTCACACATTGTACCCATGTCGAGAATCGAACCCGCCCCCATATATAACTGTGTGTGTGTGTGTGTGTGTGTGTGTGTCGGTGGAATGAATGAATGAATATTGTTTTACGCCGCATCAGCAATTTTCCAGCCATTCACGGCGATGTGTGGCGGTGGAGATGCTACTGACACAGCAAGCGTGAACGAGGAAGGTTGAACGTCACTTTAAACTGTAATACGTTTATTTCACGTGTCAGCTTCATAAGAGAGGAATGCCAAACATGGCGAAAAGAGAGGTGCTGACTGATCGAAGAAATAAATCGGGCCGAATATGGGATTCGATCTCACGACCAGAGATGCAATCCCGGTATCGAATCGCCTACACCACCGTACCACCTTGAACACTCCTTCGAGAACGCGTCTAACAGTCTGGCAATAACACAATGTCGTTTGTAATTAACCATTTAACTTAATATCACAATTATAGCTGTGATATATCAAAGACCTCATCGCAGTAACTCCTTGTTGACTGGCAATCTGGCATCTGTTTTGCCTAACTGAATTAACACCAGTATATCGCACCGAATACGCCCCGACACTCT